TTTCTTAAAATGGCCTCCTAGCGTTTAGGTACTTTTCCACTTCCTTTCCCACTGGGCCCTTCGGTTATTATTCTCCACTGATCATTGACCTAGTTTTCATCTTGAATTCCTCCAGTCCTCTTTGTCCTATGTCGTAGCCTTTAGTGGTTGTATATTATGAAAAATATAAACAACTCTATTACTTTGTTCTTTCCCTCTTTTTTCTTTTTCTTCTTTTTTTTGTTTTTTGTTTTTTGTTTGTTTTTTGTTTTTTTTGTTTTTTTTTTGGTTAAAAGTACGTGCGTCACTCTTTCAACCAAAATTAACAGAAATAAATTCTTTTCAGGTGAGAAATCGCCCTTTGCCTCAAAACAAAAGTTGCACCCCGGCGGGAGTGAAAAGACAGACTACATAGTGGACTCACCAGGAGAGAGTAAAGAGGTTGTTATTTGTTTTTTTAAAGGAGAAAAAATAAACCCAATTTTCCATCTTTTGAATTGCGTGCCGTGAACAGCGCAATATGGCGCCTGCGACACCCCAGAGCAAACGTAGTATGCTGATAGATTACTACATGAACTATGGCTGCGAGGACTGCGGAAGTGACAGAAACCACAACCAAAAGGATTTGTTCTACCTCAGCGCAGAGAGCAAGGCACGGTCGGATCCCGCTCTGGAAATATCGAAAAAGGTAAGGACATTATCGTCGCTGTCGTATGCAATCCACTTAAGTCCACATTCTGAGAATTTTCGGTTTTTTACCCCCCCCCCCCCCCCCCCCCAAAAAAAAAAGAAAAGAAGAAGAAAAGAAAAAAGGCACTACTGAAAATGCACCTTTCAACTTTGCCAAAATACAGTTTAAAGCTGTGGTCAAGCAAAGCTTACAATGTTCTTGTTTTTCATGATTCCTGATGGGAACAACGCAACAAAAACTACTTGGTTGTTTTTGTTTTTTGTTAGTTTGTTGTTTGTTGTTGTTGTTGTTGTTGTGGCGTCGGTGACCTAGTGGTTAGGCTCTCGGACTCGCAACCGTAAGGTCGTGGGTTCGAATCCCGTCAAGGGTCCGACGTTGTGTCCTTGGGAAAGCCACTTTACACGAATTTTCCTCACTTCACCCAGGTGGGAATGGGTACCTGGCTACAGACAGCGAAAGATCTTGTCAGTTTGTTAGTGTTTGAGCGCTTAATCGGCTGCTCGCACTGTATGCTTCCCGGGAAGCTGAGAATGTTTCGGAGTGTTCTATGGTCTGCTGGGGTAATAATATAGTGTAAAGCGCATAGAGCCTGCTGCTGAGCGGGGGTATGCGCTATACAAATGCTATCTATTATTATTATTATTATTATTATTATTATTATTATTATTATTATTATTATTATTATTATTATTGTTGTTGTTGTTTGTTTCTGATGTAAAAGGCACCCAAATGGACGTAAAAGTGGATTGCTCGCAACAATGACGTCATTATCTTTTTGGTGCCCGTTGATGTTTTCTATCGGGGGTTTTTTCGGGGCGGGGGCTACTCCACCGTTATACGAATCTATATTGTAGAATTGGTTCAATAACAATAACGTAATGTTGTAAGACAAAATAAATAATTCACATGTGGGGGAGGGGGTGGGAGAGGGTGCTTGGTTGTTTGTTTGTTTTTTGTTTTGTTTTTTTTGTTGTTGTTTTTTTTTTTAGTTTGGTTTGGTTTTGGGGTTGGGAGTGTTGTTGGTTGTTGGTTGTTTTTTTTGGTTGTTTTTTGGGGGGGGGAGGTTCTTGGTAGTTACGCTGATGCATTGCACAGCTCTGTGTGAGCACTGGTTAGCAGCGATCGATAGTGTCGAAAACTTTACCATTTATTTTTTATTTTTTCACGGGCCCAATAATCTTTCTAACTTCTCTGGCGTTTTTTATTTTTTCACGGGCCCAATAATCTTTCTAACTTCTCTGGCGTTGTACAGGGACACATAATAATAAATATGTGGTTTGAGGAAGAAAGAGAGAAGGGGCGAGAGAGGGAGAGAGAGAGAGAGTGAGAGAGAGAGAGAGAGAGATAGATAGAGAGAGAGAGGGGGGGGGAGGGGAGATAGAGAAAGTCGGACAGTCGCAGAATAATAATAATACATATTTCCTACGATTTATGGACCTATCCTCTTCGCCCTGACTGTCTTTAGAGAACCCAAATTGATGTCAGTATCCCTGGCTTTGGGTCTACGCCAAATATACGCGTTGTTATACTACTAGACTCTGCACGGATGGTGTGAATGATAATAAAAACAGTTTAGAATTCGGATGCTTGGATTCCTCTGGCTCGCGAACCACAAACGTTGGGTGGACGGTTATTTTCACGAGGATACCCGCTGCTGTTTTAATCTTTAAATTTTAAAGAAAAAGCATTTTTGGTTACGAGAGCTTGTTGAAAACATTCAGTTTTATTTTAACTTTATAATCTAAATTACTGTGCCTCTTATTTGTCTTTCGTGTGCGGATACATATCGTATTCGTTTCAACGAAGTGGACACATTCCTGTTGATGTGGTATTTCTGAATACGTGTGTATATATCAGCTCTTTGTCCTTTACGGGACCATGTCTTTAAGATTTTGTCGTATTTCCACTATTTTAATCATAATGTAAGGGCTCCAAGATCGACATACGCCTTCAAAATAATACCAAGGGTTACGACTCCGTTGAAAACAAAAAATTACTGTATTGCCTCCCTTACCTGCCAACCAACTTGTCACCTGTTGACATCGGATTTGTCACCCTTGAATCTAGTCTTCCTACTCGTCAACAGCGTAGAATATGGCAAATAGGACACATCGATTAAGCAAGTCTATCGTCGGGGGCATATTATTTTAAAACCGCGTGGATTCTGTACTATGGCCGATTATCTTCGAAAAACCCTTTTGTTTTATCTTAACAACTTCGCATAAGTATTTTAGCTATATCTAATAAGCGATATTTCATTTCACAAGTGACACTTTATACTTTTTTTCTTTTCGGCATTTTTACTTTCCGCTCCCAAACAGCGCTGGTAAATGTGTCAGCGTAAATGAACGAGGGTTGAATGAACCGAATGAGTGTAACACAGATGTTACATCCTGCACTACACACTGGTTGTTGTGGATTAATTTTTACTGTGTTGTTTGTAGTGAATTTCCTACCTAGATGTAATGCATACAAATTATTATGGTTCAGAATTTTTTCCTAAGTGTAGAGCACTATAATACTGTCTTTTAGCCTTGATTACATGCAAAAGTTTTATTTATTGGGGAGAAACCTGTGGAGTAGTAGAGTTAGAAGTTTGAAAAAGTGTCGGCTTGGTTCCAATTTGTTTTGCCCTGTAGACGAGTCAGCCGGGTTACTCACCCATTGTCTCTAGGCTAGTCATGACCTCTATAAAAAATATTATTTTATCATCTAGATTTAGATATATCTATAAAGATTCTAGATCTAGATCTAGTAACAGTATGGAAAAGTCTGTACTGTTGCTACTGTACTAAAGACTATCATAGCAGAACAGGACCAACTCCTTTTCCTCAAATGAAAATTTAAAAATAGGGTCATGTTTGCCAGTCTACGTAGTGATCATAATAAATTTTATAATATATTACTTAATTCGAAAGCAATAAATCTAGATGTGATGCATCGTAGTGAAATCAGGCGCTCGTCGAAACAATGAAAGTCAAGAAACTGTCATTTTTCCGCAGGTTTGGGAATGTTTAGAATTTTTGGTTTTTGGCTCAACATCTTTCATGCCCTTTAATGAAGACATTCCGGTGCGGATTTTACTGAAAAAGATGTAAATTTTCAGTTTCCATAGACTCTTAAACTAAGACTAAGGAAATAACCCAACTTTTAGTGGAAATTTTCTCGTTAATTTTTCATCTGAAACCAGGCGACCCCCACCTCTTTCAATAGCCAATATCTTGACTTGTATCCGAGAAAAATTTATATTGTTTCATCCCAAGCAAGGCAAATGGACAGGCTTTACGAAAATACCAACAACTCATATATTTGCTCCAAAATTGACGAGAGCCTGATTCCACCGTGTCGTGACACGTCTATAGCCTACTATAGGCCTTATAGAGGCTTAGAATCTAGATCAAGACCTTTATCAATCATTTCCCTGTGGTGGCCCTGGATCTTTAACCTATAGCCTATAGTTTGGATAAAAAAGAAAAAAAAAATAATGATGTAGAGCAGATCTTTTAGATAATCCGATACTCCAGCTCTTAATCTTTAAATTATTTTTGTGCAGGCCTACTAGTTAAACAAGCATTTTTTTTTAAAGACAAGCAGAAAAACCTGCTTACAACTGTATATGGAGTTGATTGAAGTTAAAGGTGCTGATAAATATTGCAGAATTCTGGGACAAATTTGTTTTTAGAATTTTCATCGGAGTCTGAGATCAATGTTATACAATGCAAATTTGAGTAAGAAGGAAAAAACACTTTGAAAAAACAAGTTAATTCTCCCTTAACTTTTCCGGACGTAGTTTTTTTTGGGTCTAGATCTAGAGTAATTAACTTGCGGCTCAATTTGCTACACGGGTGATGTACAAAATAACTGCATGTGCATAATCATCACTCAAATGGTAACATGATATATGAAATTGAAGGAAATTGAATGGGGAATACATTTAAACATGAAACAAAGATTACTTTTGAACGTAAGCATCATGGTGCATTACAAGGGTTGAAATGGGTGATAGTGATGAAGAAATAAAATTTTGACGCACAAAATCTATCACCAAACATGGGAAAACGAATTAGCAAGCAAAGCTATTTATACAGGCCTAGAGCTTAATCCATACATTTCTGAATGTGCAGCTTTTTATTTGAAAGCAATATTCCAATTTTCGTTTGAGTTATATTTCTATTGAGTCTGGTTACATCGTTTTGTTGATTCTAGACCGCAAGAAGAAATTCACTCGTTTTTCACCAAACGGATGTTTTGACAAAGTGAAACTAGATGTTTTCATTTCCTAAATCCTTTCCAAGTTTTCAACAACAATAATAAGTGTAGCCTGCTTGACGGATCATAATAAGTAGCCTAATTGACGGTTCATGTTAAATACGAAACAAAACTGAGGCACCCTATCATTGCCGACATGTCAGCGATACATCTGCAAGTGGTGTGGACTCAAGTTTTAAGCCTGCTTGAATTTAAAATATGAAAAGTATTTCTTTTCTATATTCATTATTTTATCCCCCCCATATTTAATCTGAATGTGTTGTTCTCCTGAAATTTAGGAGGCATTCAGACTGGTTTAGAGAAATCAGTTGAAAATTAGAGTGATGGAATAGTCAACCGTCTTGACTGTGCAAGTGTTGATCCAAGTGAAAACCATATTTTACCTGGACTGGAATTCGTAGTGCTCAGAGAGACGATCGTTTCTAGAAATGGGACGAGAGAAATTTCCCTCCTCTTCTGGGCCCGGAGCTTCAAATGGTGCTCCCCCGGGTGAAATGTCCAGACAAACGTCTCGGCAGCATTCCCTCACTGAAACCTATGACATGTCCTGCAAGGTCAGTAGGCCCACAGGTTGAAAGCTCGGTCGAACTAATGCTTGTTAAGGGGAAACATTTTTGTATGATTTTGTTTTTCATTTTTGCCAATCTTATAGTTGAGAGCTTTGTGGATTTCCCTCTAAACTGTTTTATTTCCAGTAAACTCTCTACAATAAAGCCTTGTCCTTTGCAACTCTAGCTTTGTTGTGGACTTTTATTTGGCAGGGTAACTTTTAAAAGTTTGAAAAGTGTTTGAATCAGCCTATGTGAACCCTTTCAATCTCAATTCCAATAGTGGTCAAATTGAGGGCAGAGTCTCAATTTTGACAACCATAAAATAAAATTGGGGGCAAAGTCTCAATTTTCACAACTGATGAATATGCATGTTGTGTTTCGTTCACAACACTCGCAGTTTTTCTATCTACTATTTAAATAGAGAGTCCCCATTCTCTGTTGAGAGCAGCTACTTTTTTTTAGCATATTTTTTCAAAGCAAAGCCTGTTTTAATTTTTATTGAGTTTTGAGTTTTTTTTTAAAAACTAGGGTAGAATCACTCTTTTTTTCCATTACAGGCTACTCTAGGTTCAACCAGAATCATGGGGGGGGGGGCTGGAACTCTCAAGGGTTAATTTCGTAGTTTGCAGACTTTGTTTTCAGCCCCCCATGTCAACCTACAGGATATACTCACCTATGTTAACATTACTTGCGTTCATCATGTTTTGCTTCCATTGTATCCCAATGTCGTGAATTTACAAGCAAGAAGGGTGTCAATTGTAATAATGAACAATTTACAGATACGAGGCGAGCTGACAAAATGAGTTACTTCTCGCAATCCACAAATGGAGATATTGGCCAAAAATCGACACTAAGGTCAAATTTGTAGATTTTCTATTGTGATGCCATTTTCTTTAAGTATAACATGACATTTATTACTTCATAGGCCTACCTATAAATTGTAAAAACTTCACCTCTATAAGCGTGATGTATCTATTTGCAATTGACTAATCCGAGAAGCAACTCATTTTGTCAGCACATTTCATAGATGTTTTGTTTTTTTATTTTTAAAAGAAAATAGATTTCATTCTCAAATTTACTTCATAATATAAGTTCCCCTTTTTTGTCTGCATTTTTGTTTGATTTTATTTTTGTCAGGGAGAATAGAGGTATTATAACACAACAGAAATTTTGGGCTCTTCATTTTGTTATCTAAATTATATGTAATAAGCTATTATATTCCTTTGATGTTTGTTTTTCTGGATGTAATCCATTGAGTGATAAAGGATTTCTTTTTCTTCTCCAGGTGATGCTCATTGGTGACAGTGGGGTGGGCAAGACCTGTATTCTTGTTCGCTTCAAAGATGGGACTTTTCTTTCTGGAAGTTTCATTTCCACTGTTGGTATTGACTTCAGGGTATGTTAGTAATGTTACCTGATGAAAAAATGCTGAGTGTAATTTACTTGTACTTGTAAATTATAGGTGAAACATGGTCACTAGAGAGACTAGGTTTGTTGGGTTTTTTTCAACTTTTTCTTTTATGAGTGATATTTGAAATGTAAAATTGAAAGTGGTATGATCTTCTTTTTTTGATTGCTGCCAACCAATAAAAATCGAGATGCTCCTGATTTGTCATTTTTATCAGTCTACAACAATTGTTTCTTCTTATTCTTTCGACTTTTCTCCTGCTTGTTTCATACCTGTGTGCTGACCTCTGGCTGCCTCTTGGTCATGCCGCAGGCAGATGTTTTCTCATCTTGGGGGTATGTAATCGACAAGATTCTGACCTCTATCTTCAACACGATGATCCTGAATTTAACCAAATTTGCCCCTCTGTACACTGAACGCATGCCTGAGCATTTAGCAGTACAGTGTATAATATAATATTTCATATTCAGTATGTGCACAGGAGCTAAGGTGCACAAGTCTTGTATGCTCAGGGGGCACTTGGCACAAAGGGCTAAGGAAATAGCTTCCTTAATACAGACCGCCTTCCTGTTTTGTTTGTTGTATTGTGCAACAGCTCTGCGCTATCATATTGTATCATATTGATGAAGAATGATACTTTTTAACGAATTAAAGAATTTGTAAATTGTGTGAACAATGGAGGAACTTGTCACTACATTCTGAGATTCAGTACCTTTCTCAAAGCCAAAGGCATATATTTTGAACTTGTGTTAAATGATGGAGAGTTGTATTGGAGATGTACTTTGCATGAGATAGAATATCAGACTGCATTGTAGTCTTCTATGCCTTATTTCTTTTTTTCTTCTTTCACTACCTGGCACCAGTCTATCGACACAATGTGTTCAGCAGTTTTCTGGGAATTCTGAAAGATAACTTAAAAGGTTAATGTTGAAGCCATACTAAGCTTCTACTGATATAAACAATTATTCAAAACCCATAGATATTCTGAGGATTGCAGTGGTAATTCCTACTTCGTTCCTCTCCATTTTACGCACTTCTTTTTGATTTTTTTAACACTGAGCATACTGATATATATACTTTTGTTTCTTCATCCTGTCTTTGTGGACTCTAATGACTCTGGGCTTCAATGATGATTTTCCTTTACGTTTGTGCATCCTCTTCCTCCCCATCAAACCTTTTTTATTTAAAGTTATTACTGCATTGTCAGCCCAATATGCTTGCATATATACATTTTTGACTTTATAGAGAAATAAAGTGTTTGGTTGGTGTCAGTGTTACTGGTCGATTTACTTACTATTAATTTACTGTGTTTGTAAATTGTACTCTTTATTGCATATTTACAGATGTGAATTGACCATTATAAGTTATGTTCTTCCTTTTATATCATGTATGAGCCTTATTACCGGAACCAGAGTGTTGAATGCCAAGAACTTACAAATGACTGAAAATCTGAAATGTTTTATCATAAGATCAGTGTCTGGTTATTGAAGCATGCTGTTCCCAGATGTTGAATCTTTTCTGCCTAGGTCTTCTTTCTGTCTGTTACCCTGCTTATTCATGGATATGATTGTGCTTTTCTTTTTGAATATTCTTTGAAATAAGGTATGCAGATGAAAAAAGGTGTACTGCATCCTTGCTAATTCTTAAATTTGATAAGGAGCCTGATGAATTTGAATACAAATCTGGGGAAGCCAAAGAACAAACTATTCTGTTCTTTTATACGTTCCTTCCCTGGAGTTCATTCTTTGACAGATAAGGCCTTTCATTTACACAATTTTGTCAGATAGAGATTCAAGTTTTGTCACACACTTACATATAATATATAAATATATATTATATATATGAAATTTAAAAGAACAATTGTATGCATGTACAGTTGAACTACATGTATCGACCATCTGTCGAAGACAAATATGAATATACCATTGACCACTTCCAGGAGGTCCACCGATATAAGATAACAACTTTTCTCGTCAAAAATGGGTTGTTGTCTTGGACAAGTGTGACAGTTTCTGAAACAGAAAGTTTTACTAACAGGCTACAGCAAGTCTTTTTTGTTTCCCCCTGCAGCTTTTATACAGTTTGTTTAACCTGCTTTTATTCCTTTTTTTTTCAGAACAAAGTGGTGGACGTGGAGGGCACCAAAGTAAAGTTACAGGTGAGTTTAAGGTTAACGATAAAACAGTTTTGCTGAAATGACATTGTGCACTCTGTATTTTCTCCCCTACCCCCTCTCCCCTCTTTTTGCACCGCTGTGCCATGTGCTCAACTGAAGCTTGTCCCGCTGTAGGTCTACCACTTTGCTGGAAATTCCTGGAAATTTAAAAGTGTAGAATTTTCATTATCTTTTTGTTTCTTGGAGGCGAGTTTATGCTCTTGTTTTTGTGTGTGATGCCAACATTTCTATTTGCGTTCTGCTGATTGTGCAGCTAGTTTTGGACCCTGTACTTCATCTAGGTGGCATCCACACTTTCCCCTAGTGAGTTGGCAACATCACTGATAGAACCAGTGCACACCAATAGGGGATGTTTTTGGGGGTTTTTTCAGTAGTACAACAGTGCTCGGATGTTCATGTATGATGTTTACTTGAGCTTAAAATCTCTGCCTTCTGTCTTTCTTTCTTTGTTCACTGTTCATCTATAATCTAATAATAATATTACTGATAATAATAATAATAATGCAGATAATCGCTAAAGTGCCCTCTCTTGTACAATACAGCTCTGAGCGCTTAACAATACTTTCATCTTAACACAAAATACAAGACTGAACGTGTATACATGATATGCTCTTTGAATTAATGCAAAGGCATATGGAGACATTCATACTATCATAGCACAGTTGATGATATCTACTTCACATTATGAACATAAAAGTATTAACCACAAGGCAGAGGGTTCCCTCCTGTGGAATGATTTTTCAGATTCAGTACACTGTTTAACTTGCACAAAAGCGAACAAAAGACGTCCCTTCTGCTTAGGGGACTTCTTGTCAGTGCCTCTCCCTTAGCATGCAGTCAAAGAAGACATTGTAACCTATGAGACTAAGCAGTGCTGCTCTGTGTACTTGTGTTCAAAGTTAACTCACTAGTCATTTTTATATATAGCATTTGGAAGTAATGGAGATGCAGTCAGATAATGGAGAAAATTTGCCTTCTGACAAAATATTTACAGTTTTGTTTCCTAACTTATGGGCTGTTGATGTTAGATCACCAATTCAAGATTGTTTGGTTAAAGTGCAGATTTACTTCTAGATGAATATATATACCTTTCCTAATCGTATTGTTAAGAGAACTGAATTATATTGAGTATGTTTTTGTTTTTCTAAGTGTGAGTATCAGGTTATGCCACAGATACAGTGCACAACTCATTTCCAGCTTTTGCCATTATTGTAGCATAGCAGTAGCAGAAGAACTAACACTCCCCTCATCACCATCACCGTGACCACCACCCCCACCACCCCAAACCTGGCTGTTCCATGCTTGCTAAGTGAAAGTGGTTTTGCGCTGAATGGACATGTGCGCCTTTTTTTTTACTTAAAAGTGGATCAACATTCTCCTGTGGCATAATTGGAATAGCAAACTTCTGTGTTTAATATTTTATTTTTTATTTTTGATATGGTGCCAATATTCACATCAATTTGAGAAATCTCAGTCTTCTAGATTTTCATAACTAAAGCAGAGAGTTCAAGTAATTTCTCTTTTGATGCCAATTGGCTAATTTTTTGTATTGTTGCTGCTTTGTTTTTTTGTTATTGTCATTGTTTTTTGCATATATTGAACAAATCATATTTTTCATATGCTTCTCAAATAAGGTTTTCATAACATGGTGTTCTGAAGAAGTCTTTGTGTTCAAAGACTTTGGAATGCTTGAACATTCACCCAATGTAGTCCAACAGAATGTTGCTGTTATTGTGAGAATGGTGTACAAACAGTGATATTTTAGTCAATGGATTCTCCTCCAAGCGCCTTTTCTTGTCGGGGTCATGTTGTCAGCTTGCTGATGCTGCCACGGATAGGCTGGTTAGATCTTTGGGGCATAACAAGGTGTTCATATGAGTTATTATTTCACATATCCATGATTTGAATTTCTGCTTATGAGGCTGAAAAAAAAAGCAAACATATATAAGATTCTTGAGTTAACATTGCTGTTCTTGTGAGATTTTTAAAGTTTCATGATTTCATGGCTTTTTTCAATATTCTAGACAGTGAGACTGCAATTTGCATTACCTTTGTCTGGCTTTCTTTGCATTCTACCGCTAGATCTTAGGGTTAGTCGACTGCTCGTTCTTCAACCTGCTGTGCAACTGATTTTTAAGTATGTGTGACCGTTGTTCCTCCTTCTGGCTTTTGAAGTCTTCTCTTGCTGTCAACTGTCTTCAGTGATTATGATCAGTGTTAAAAAATCTGTTACTCAATTTACTTTTTTGAAAAATAATAATAACCTATAGCTGTTTGACCATGCTAAATTTTCTATTTAAAAAAAGTTAATTTCATTCCAGCAGTATTTCAGTTGTGCCATTACAGTTCTTTTATTGAAAGCTGAGAATTTTTTTTTTTAACTTTCTGTCAGTTCAGTTGGACTTGTCGGATAACATTTGTTCACAGATGTTCTTACTTGATTCTTCCCTTGGGTTTTCATGATGTTTAATGTCATTCGATATGTTCTTGTGGACTTACTACATACCTAATTTCATGGAGAAAGTCTGGGGACTTTACTTTTTTCACTTTAACAGCACCACATTTAGATTTTTCATTTTTTGATGTGCTTCAAACCCATTTTCATTTTTGATGTTTACTTTCATTCAAATTTCTTGGAACTGAAAAAGGTTCTCAAATTTATCTTTTTTTAATAATCAAGCTCCAGGTATGATTCTTTTGCTGTGTTAAGTCACAGACAAAAGTTCAAGTGTGGTTTGTGTGTGTGTGTGTGCAGGAATGACTTTTGGCCTATATTTCAGATCTGGGATACGGCCGGCCAGGAAAGGTTCAGAAGTATAACCCGGGCGTATTATCGGGATGCTAATGGTATGTCCTCCTGCAGTTTTTGCTTGTGGGCTAGAAGGCTTCCTCCTGGATTTGAAATTGTTTTTATTCCAAAGTTTGGCTTTTTTATTTCCCGTTATCCTTGCCCCGAGGGACCTAAGAATGTCACTCTTCTTCTTCTTCATTACAAAACTTGAACCACATGTGATTTTGCTCTCCCAGGTCGTGGCATTCCCCTGCTGCTCAGATCTCTTCCCCTGCCCTATACCTGTGTGTAACTGTTTGAACTATACACATATATGTACCTGTACTGTAGAGGGCAGCTGTATTCCTGTGAGCAGAACTGTTTCCCTGATGGTTTTGTGACTGTCTATTCGGAGGTCGTAGGTTTCAGCAGATTCGTTGTTTACTGTTTCTATCTGTATAAATGTTTTCTGTGCGTTTATGTTAGTTTGTATGTAATTTTCGCAAGGTAATGGTTAATTGTAGAAAGTGTCTGATATGTGCAGGAATATCCTTTCTCACCATCATTATGAAAAGATCTTTCCCAAATAGTATGAAACCAATTTATTTTCTTTTTAATAAAGAACTCTTTAAAAGATAGATACAGTCTAAACAAAAAACTGTTCTAATAAATCAGTTGTTAATTTATCAGGCATTATACCTCGTGTGTTTCCAATAGTTTCTTTTTAAAATAGATGGGTAGACAAAAAGCAGAATAACCGTTGACTTAGAAAACAGGAGGGTTTTTTCTTGATTTTGTTTCAAAGAATGACACTAAACTAATGCATTTGCAAGTTAAATGGCATTCTTTATAACCGCTTTAATTCTTTGTAAAGAATTATCATAAGTATGTGTGGGTAGTTGTGCCCGTATTGTTTAATATTGCGAACTTGTTTCCAATTCCCTTATGATTAATCAAGTAAGATGTCCCACAAACAAATTTTTACTACAAAGAAGCCCATCTTTCCTTCCCATTTGTGTTCCTGTGAGTAGTCAGATCTTTTGGTGAGAGGGAAAGAGCTGTTAAGACATTACAGAATACTGAGTGTTCTTTAACTGGATAAGATAAAGAGTATTTCCATTAAGTTGGACAAAAATCAGTACAGTGGGAAGGCATCAGCACAAAAAAGAGAGGAACTGAGGTAGATAATACAAAATGTAAGTCCACACAAGAGGTTGTGTAAATGGTTGGAGGGTGCAAGTGATAGGTTCTTCTTTTCTTTCCCCTCAATTGTTTCTGTCTCTCTAGCTTGGCTTTTCCCTTCTCTCTGTCACCAGTGCAATGTCTATGTGCTTCTCTCTACTCATCACTCATACTGAAAAAAAAAACATAAAACAAAAAATGATAGTTCATTAGCTATGAATAAGTTCATTTTCCTTCACCAGGAGATATTTGCATAGTTCTACAGGCTGGTTTTGTTAGTTTAGAGATGCAACAAGAAAGTCAGTAGTAACAGAGCTATCTTTGTATGCAACGTCTTATTTGTGAACCTTGGTGGAGATCTGGGTTATCTCTGTAAAAATATCACTTATACCTTTTTATTTGCATTTTATATGCCAGCTTTTGGCATGAGTACTTGCTTGCAATGTTGAATCACATTTGGGTTGAGGTTGAAAGAGATAACTATTCACTCTAAGCGAGCTTTGCTCTCTGAATGATGTCACCCTTTTTTTTTTTTCAAAGTTTTTTTCTTGACACATTTCTCTTATAGAGATTTTTTTGGCTTGCCTGTTTGGGACTTTTTTCTTCCTTTTTGCATTAATATTTCCTAAGAATGGGGACAAGACTTTTCCAGAGTTTGGAGAGTTTGCATTTACTTTGTGGGATGTCCATGATTTTTTTTTTCTTTGCTATTTAAAATATCAATTTTGCTGGTGAAAGTGAAAAAAAAAAGGATACTTTTATTTATCGATTTGGAAATTTGATTTTGAACATGACAAGGCTTTATTTTGTTGTTACAAAGTCTCCTAAAGGAGTTTCTCCATCTTTTTTTTATCAGAGACTCTTTGAAATCTTTCAGACTCATTTCGGCTCACACTTTCAGGTCAAAATGCGGCAGAGTTTAACCGTTTAGGCATCCCTAGTTTACTAACAGTCCCCTTGGATATCATGTGGTTACCTCCAAATTGACACTGTAATGTTTAGTGCTTTTCATGGTCGGGCTCTACCAATGAGACTATGTAGTATATTTATGCCCAAGTGCCTACCGCTCAGACATAACTACTGTGTATTATTGTCATTGTATTGTACACGTGTCCTTGACCTAGTTCTCTGGGGAGCCAGTGGTGTCCTTGACATGAGATGTGTGACACCTTAGACTGGCTCACTCGTCAGCCATGTTGTGTTACCTGTTTATGTTTTTGTTTCTTTTCTGTTTAGTTTTGTTCTGTTCATTTTGTTTCGTTCCGTTTTCTGTTTGTTTTGGGTAGCTGTTGCGGCTATTGTAACCTCACTATGGCTGTTTGTTGTGCTGTGCTCTTTCTGAAGATCGAAGGAGGTGTCTCGAGAGGTTATATTTCAGAGTGGAGACCCACAAGTCATGGGTGGACTTCATATACTGCATGGGCGGTCAAGAATGGAGCATGAACGGTTTATTTGTTACATATTATGTTATGTCATGCATTTGTTGATTAAATCGCCTTTTTGTGTTGAAAGGAGCATTCGACCAGCTCAGTAGCACACACGCTTACTCTTATCTTTTCAGGCTTTTAGAAAAAAAAATGATCAACAGGTCAAGGTACAAGATGAAAATCCACCATTTTAAAACGATCTCAGAAGTACTTTGTATTGGCCTCTCTGTTAATTAACCAGGGAAGATTTATACTGCTGTTTTCAGATTCGGAAGTCCGGGAAGTCTAGAGCTTATTATACTTCGGCGGTGCCTGTTTTTTTTTAAACTTTGTAAGTTTCGACCTGCAGTGAAATTATTTGAAACAGCCAGCCATTGTTTAGGAAAAGGTGGATGTCTTTGGCAGTGTCATTATAATGAAAAGGATACAAGTGGGGAATTGGGAAGTGGTCATTTGTACAGGTGATTGTCTTTGTCTGGTGGCAGTCAGAGCAGGTTCAACTGTATTAATTCGTGGGGGGGGGAGGGGGGGGGGGGGGGGGGGGGGGGGGCTGATATGACCTGCTCTTTTTACTTGATAACTTGTTTTCAATTCTAATGTTTCTTTCGATTAATCTGTTCTATTGAAAAATAGCCTCTATACGGGGCTGACAGCTTTTACCCTACAACTCATAGAAGAGATTGTGGCAGGTGGCATTTTATCAGAGCTTTTCAACTTTAATGACTCGATACCACCTTCTAGTTCGAACTTCTTCTGAGATCCTGGTCCCATATAAAAGAAGAGAGAAAAAAAAAATAAGATGATATGGATACTTCACAACCCATCGGAAAGTGCATCTTTGGTCACCAGTAAACTGTAGCCCATCTCTTGAAGAAATGTTGCTCATGCGTTATCTAACGTACACAGGGACTAAATGCTCAGATAAAGATGTAGGTCTACATGGAAGTTTGGCAATATTTGCTGTCAAGAACTCATAATTTTGAAGTGTGAGGTTTCGATTGATAACACTTTGGTTCTATCTGTCAAACGCTGGTCCTTATCATGCAATGGTTCTGATGTTGCTGATAATGAAATGATGGGCTTTCATGTTCTGGAAAAGCTAATGCTCTGACGTCATTACATTATTAAACTTGAATATTTTTTTTTCCCAGATATTTTTGAAAGGTTATCCCATCCGTATAACAATTTTAGTATACTTGAAATTGTTTGTTTTTCAGAAATGACAGCAATGAGCAGGCTCGGAGAAATCAAGCATTTTTTTAAATATAGTTCCGCAATGTAAGATGCTATTTTGTTTTCACACTGAAATTTTGTTCCTCAGCATCAAGTATATATTTGTAGACATGTTTGTGAATGGGTGAGGAGTGAGTCCTTAGCCATGACTGTGCAAAGTGCCAACAGTCGATTATGCCAAATCGACTGTAGGTACATGAAGGACAACAGTTTTTCTCCGAACACTGAATATTTTCCCAGCACTGATCTCTTGGCTAAAATGTGGCGGCTGGTTAATCGCCAACTCAGCGTCATATCCTGCATAACCCACCTAAAGGTTGTACCACCACATGTTTCAGATCTGGGACACGGCCGGCCAGGAGAGATTCCGTAGTATGACCCATGCCTACTACAGGGACGCCCATGGTAGCCCTCACGTCTTGTCGTTTTCAGCACATCTTTACGTGGCCAGCTGCACCACCAAATGCTCTCTGCTCTCCTCTTGATGTAAACCCTCTCACTTCTGGGTGTCCCTAGCGGGGAGAAATTTAAAGCACTATCTGTCAAGACGACTTCAAAATTTCAATGCAGTTTGTTAAAAATCTTGTCGTCAGTTTAAGAGATTGAGTCATGAAAACATTGTTTGATGTTTTCAGGCTCTTTTCTTTCAGGATACTTGTGCATCGCAATATTTGAGAGATAAAGTCTATTTAAGTTGATGAAGTTTGGACGTTTAAAAACTTTTCGAAAAGAGTTAATTTTGCTTAGGAGGGTGTCAGGTACATAAGTAACTAAACTAAAAGGTTAACTTTGTAGCCCCTTGTATTTCCCACGCCTGGGCTTGAGCAGTGTAGAGTTTGCCTGTGGTGCGTGCGGTTGTCCTCCGTGTATGTGTCTCGTTTCCCCACAGTGATGTGTGGTCTTCACTTCTGACTTCTCTGATGCTTGGGTGCAACAAAGAACAGGTTGGGGTGGGGTGGGGTGTGTAGAGGCTCTGGAGATTTTATTTTTTTCTCCATCCTCATTCAAGACCTTATCAGATTTGCCTGCCTTTAAAGCAGTTTTGTGATTTGAAAAGAAAAAACAGCTTACTTTTGAGCTAATTGTATTTGTTTTGGGAATGAAGGTATGGGATTAGAATACACCTATGATGCATGTTGGAGCTCTACTAGCTGTAGTGGGAAGGAGGAGGATGCAAACAACATGTATAGTGTATGAATGCTGCTGCAACTTTCAAGCAATATCCTGCTTAATAA